TTTTTCTTCCTTTTTTTTTCAAGATCTGTTCAAGCTGAATTAGTTAACAAAAGGTAATTAAATTAAAATCTTAACTAGGTATTAATTCTCTATTCAAGTTTGTTTCTTAATATTTTTTGTTTTCAAAGATATTCGCATTTTAAAATCGTTTTGTGAGATTAAAATATCAAGGTCTTAAAGATCAAAGTGTAATTTTTTTTAAATTTCGGAATAAATTTTAGTTAATTAAATATAACAATTTATAGATTTTTGTTGACAATTGTAATTCAGTTTCTCAATTTTCAAGATCTAAATTCTAAGATTTAATTAATTAAAGTTAAATTATTTTTAAAATATAAAAATCACATAATTAACTACCTAATTTTTTGTTTACGGAAGATCTTATTATTTTTTTTTTTTTGAAGATCTCTGCGGAGGATTAAAAACTCAAGATCTGCTGTAGAGATCAAAGAGTAAAATGTTTTAGATCAATTTAAGATAAACTAAATTAAAAGTAGTATTAAGATCATGAACAAAAACTATTCTTTCTTCAAGATCCCTATTTTCAAGATCAAATCACAAGTTTTTTTTAATAATTAAAGATAAATTTCGTAAAAAAAAAACAATCTTTATATTTTCTCTCCCATTTTTTTGCTTTTTGAATCTTCACTGATTAGATTTGTAAAAAAACAACCTAAATTACTTAAAAAAATAAAAATTAAATTTAAACTTCAATAATTTAATTCTCTGTTCAAAATGGTTTCTTATCATTTTCTATTTCTAAAAATTTTCGCATTTTCAAATCTCGCAAAATTTGTAATTTCACTTAATAAAAAATGTACTCTTTTTAAAATCTTAGTTTCTCAGTTCTCAAGATCAATGCATTTGAAAATCTTTTCAGAAATAAAAAACAAACAACAGTTGAGATCAATTGTAGGATCTGTAAAATCTTTAGGATCACTTTAAGTTAAATAGTTGTCTATTCAAGATTTTGATTTTGTTTCTCAATTCTCAAAATAAATTATTTTAAATTTATTTTGAGAATATTTTTTTTTATTTAAAAAATTGTTTAATTCTAGCAATAAGATTTTGAGATCTTCAAAAAGTCACAATTTTTTTGAAACTATTTTAAAAGATTTGAAAACAAACAATAAATTAAAATATTGTATCAGGTAAAACTCTTGAAATATGAACTTTTAAAATTCCAAAGATGTTCTATATCTTTAAAAAAACAACAAAAGGTTTTTAAATAAAATCTTGAGAAGCAACAAAATCGTACTTGACATTCAAGAGCATTTTATTCATTCATAATTTGTTGTAAAGATCTTGAAAAAGTGTAAGAATCTCAAATTCCAAGGCTTAAAACAATCATCAATATATTAATTAAATCTTCTAGTAAAACAAACTATAAATTATTATTATTATTAAAAAGCAACAAAAACAGGTCAAAGTAATAAAATGTGAGCTATTTAAAGAAATAATTTCGCTTTATAAGACAAGAAGGCGTTTTATATTCAAAATCGTATTTTATAATTCATTCAGAAATACAAAAACCGATAATTACATAAAACTTCAAATTCCAATTAACGCAAACTTGAAAATGAAAATTTGAAAGTCATTAAATATCAGCGCAAAACTCTTCAAACATTTACACGTCTTGTAAAAATCAGTGCCAGATATTTGCATAAATTATGTCACGATTTTATCTATAAAAAAAAACTTGTAGCTTTTGCAACTCTTGCAACATAATCTAATTAAAACCTAAACAAAAACGGGTTTCTTTTGCAATTGGATAATTTTGGTCAAGTTTAAAAAACTACCTTTCGCAGTGTTGTATTTGAGCAACGGTTGGCCACTCTGGCGCTGCAGAATCTTCATCACATTGTCATCACTAGCACCAACAAAACTCAAAAATCCTACAAAAAGTAGTGCAAAAATTTTTTTTCGAAAACGACTCATTGTGGCTCGTGATCGATCTTGGACTGAAACGGAGATTTAAAGTCTGGTACGATACCGGATTTTGACCATGAAAGCTTCCTCGTAGTGGGGGCTGCTTTGGGGCGAAAGCTATCACTCATTGTGACAATGACAGTGGGTTTTTCAACCATCACTGGGCAAAAATTAAAAGAAAACAAAATTTCGACAAGACAACCGTTTTTTTCATTGTTGATTAATAAATGGTTTAATTTAATAATTAAATAAATAAAATTCAAAGCTGAGTTTCGAAAAAAAAACATCGCTTCAAAATTCTAAAATTTATAAATTTCTAAAATACTACAATCCTAAAAAAAATTAAAATAGTCGAATTCTGGTAAATATAAATATTATAAATAATATAAATACACGACTTCAAAAGTCTAAAATTTACGGATTTCTAAAATACAAATTTCTAATACTGCTACTAAATTACTGATCAAATATGTGAAAATAATTCTAGAATTCTAGAATTACCTATTTCTGTTGATTCTAAGTTCTAGATTCTAAAATTTTTTTAATTGAAACAATAAAAGACGTCTAAAATTTCTGGTTCTAAGTTTATAAAAAGGATTCCTATTTCTGATTTCTAGCTGTAAAAACATGGAATTCTAAAATCTAAAAAAAAAGGTTTCTAGAGAAGATATTCTGGGAATTTGGGTTTTGGTACATATTCTCAAAATAATCTAAAATTCCAGATCCTAAAAAAGAAAATGAAGAAAAAGAAGAAGAAAAAAACAAAGGTTATTCGCTTAAAAAATTTATAAAAAAACACACAGTTAACAGTCATATACATAGTGTCAACACAAGAAAACAACAAATAATTCAAGATGTTTTATTTTTTGCAACAATACAAACATTTTCTAACGACACATCCGCCTCGACGTAGTAGTGCAATCGACACTCAAACCCCAAACCCTCCAAAAACTGCAATCGCCCCCAATTCAGGAGCGCTTTAGCCCTCCTCCCCAACTCCTCCTTCTGACTCCTCGTCACTCCAATCTCCTTATCCCTCTCATTGCCCTCCACTGTCCCCCCAATTTGGTTCTTCTCCCGACTCAAACCCGTCCCACAAGTGGCCCAACTGCTCATCCCACACATCATTTCAAAATCGGGCTTCGTCAAACCGACCCGATTAAAGAAATCTTTACCGACATAAGCCCCCCAGCGACATCTGTGGTGGCAACAGAAAGTCATAGTCAAGCCCCCAACCTTAACACTTGACACGTTCAACAAACACCTCAAGGCCAAATCTGAAAACAAAAAAGGCTAGGCAACCAGTAATACACCCGTGTTAGATTTCAATCATATCTCAAACTTTTTAATTTTTTTTTAATAAATAAAACTTACCAGTCGCGTCCCCACACAAGTGTTTCGTAACCCCCACAATGGAGGCACTCCCCGAGACAGCATCCAATTTATCTAAAACCAAGTCGGCTATATCGGCCCTAATTCGTTTCACTTTTTCGCTCTTTTCCAATTTATTATCACGTTTGTGCTTGGGGGAGGAGCGTTCAATTAAGAGAAAAGTCCCCTGGGGGCACGCCTGTGCCAACCAGTAGCTCAACAGCCCCCTCCCAGCCCCAAACTCAATAAAACACGTTTCAGGTTTAATCAAATCACACTCTTGCAACAAACCTAAAATCGCCGACGCCTGTTTCAGGTGTTTTTTACTTTTGTCCCCATACTCAGGCTTGGCCAATTCAGCCTCCACCACACTGTGCCCCCGGAAATTCCCCGTAACTTGATCACTCAAAAACTCCTCAAAAATCTTGTTAATTCGTCCAATAACTGTAACAATTTCACTCGTGCTAAACTCAGATAGTGATTTATGGTCCTCGGGGGCATCCCCCAAATTCACCCCTTGCTGGATATAAGCCACGGCAGCCCCCGGTCTCGCATTACAAATTTTCAAGTGTTTGCGCAAATTATGAGCGTAACAAGTGCTGCAACTCAAGGGTTAGTAACACGGTAGGGCTCAAGTAAACCACAAACTGTTTGGGGTCAAGGGGGCACACAATCCGGATTTTATCATCGTTTGTGGCCCCGGCTGGTTGATGCTCACCGCAAAACCTATCACCCGGCTTTACACTCATGCGACAGAAGCGCTTTTTACGAACCACAAAGTGGTTACAATGTGGGGGCTCCTCACACATTTTTGACCTAAAAAATGAGGTTAAATGTCACAACATTTTTGTTTTACCCAATTTTTGGGTATTATTATCGGTGAAAAGTGTTACCTGATGGGACAAGTGTGGGTTAATTGATGTTTGTGTGTCGCCGGAGTGATTAAATCCTTGTTTTAGGGGGTTGATGACACTTGTCACTAGGTTTGAGGTTAGGTAATACAACCTCACAAAATTCGGAGTAGTGGTAATTAAGCAATTGGAGGCTATTTCAAAGACACGAGTCAACCACCAAAAACGTATTTTTAGTCCCCAGTCACGACTTTTTAATTAAATTTTTATTTGTATTACAAAAAGTGAGGTTATGTCACCGTCACATGTCAATGTTTTTGGCTAAATTCTTGCCCGTGTATCGGTTATATCATTACGTAAGACCCGTAGTGTCCCCCCCAAACGACCATACTAACCATCCTGAGTGGTTAGATCGTTGTGTTAGCGATATTAAGGTTTAAATTTTGAGGTTAAAGTACATAACCTCAAAATCATGGCGTTGTTACGCAAAAATTTCAGCGATATCCCCCCCGACGCTGTTATTTTATCAGAAGAGGAGGCTCTCAAGTACCAAAGCAAGCTCCTCAACACGTGGAAAAACACCAGCGACATGTAGGCAGCCCCCCAGAAGTGTGACCACTAATTGTCCTTTTTTGCAGTTTTGGGTACAAATTCGGGCCGTATATCCTAAGTGCAGCTGGTTTTTTTAGTGGCTTCTTCCTGAACTCCTACTACCGGCAAAAATTCAAGCTTTTGGGGCACGGCCGCGCCTCCACCTACCTCCCAGTATGCATTCTCCCGGCGACTTTCTCCCTCCTCACCCACGTGGAGTTCGTGCAAAAAGATGTCGTTTTGCAGAAACGCGGCACGTGCCCTACATGTCTCGAGATGCGGGGGGCCGCGATCCAGGCCCTCATCGGATGTGTTTTCCCCACGGTGCTAGCCCCCATGGCCAACCTATCCGTGTGTATTTCCCCAATTTAGGGTTTTTTGTTTGATGAATTGTTGCAGTTGGCACACCGATATGTCACATTCAATGTCCCTGACTTGGCCCGGGAGCCGGGCAAAGTCTTCAACTTGATTCGGGCCAAGTCCCAGCCCATTTCCACAGTCCTCTTGGCGATTTTCCTGGGGCAGGCCTTTTTTGGGGCCCTTGTCACTTACCTCGAAGCCAAATCTGTGATAAACGTCAACACGAAACTGGCCGAATTGGAGAGACAACTCGAAAATTCCTAAATAAAAAATTTCAAAGTTATAAAAGTAATTTTATTAAACCTTTGAACCCCACTACAATACATTTAAACACTAATTAAATCAGAAAAGTGTCTCTTAGGCACATTTTCTCCGATGTTTTGCTGTGTTTTGACCGAAATGAGAGATATGCGAGATTATTGTAGAGCAGTGGATTTCGTTTACCCAATTGAATCCTGAGTTTTGAGACACTTAGCTGGGGCCCCAGGGCCCCCAACTTTGGCTGTGTTGCGATCACATGTCTCAGTCCAGTGATACAGCAACGAGATCACACTATGATGTTCATTGAGCATCATCCATGATTGTTAACTACTCAACATGACAAAATGGCAGTGATGATTTAAGTTTTGAATTTTTACCATCGCAAAATTTTCAAGTTTTTTTAAAATTTTTACACACTACCCATCTCTATTCCTAGTTTTTCTTACATAAGGTTAATACAACTTCACTCACACAAATGATAAGTAAATATACTTAAAGTTATTTATATGGTTTTTGGGTAATTATTGCAATGCACCCCTTTTTGCGGACGATTATTGACAATTTTGCTATTTTAGGCAATGTAAAAATATATTTCCTATGTTACAATGTTTGAACAAGTTGAATCTTAATTTAGTGTGGTAACACTGGAAGCAAAAGCAAGGTTGGCACCCGTGCATTGCTGTGCGATGGTAGCAGTGTTGCCAGCTCGGGGAAATGTCGTCAGATCTGGGGATTTTTATGCCCAAATTCTTAATTTGGTTTTTTAATTATTATTTTAGCCAGAAACTCACCTCATTTATTTTATTTTAGCCTTTTTCGGAGCGTTTTTCAGCAAAATTTCCTAGGGGCCGTTAATTTGAAACAAATGTGTACAACCAATTCCAATTACAAAAAAATTCACCAAAATTCCAAATTAATTATTGCAATTCCAAAATAATTTCTGCAATTCCAAATTAATTCCGATAGTTTTAAGAAATTCAACGTAATTTTCAAAAGAATTCTAGAAATTCCAGAAAAATTTTAGTAATTTATTCCATCGTAATTCCATTGTTTTTAGATTAGTTCGTACAATTAATTTCTGTAATTACAACATAATAATTTTAGTAATTCGAAAAAAATCCAGTAATTTACAAATAATTCCGATAAGTAAAATCCACCAAAATTCAATTTTAATAATTCTATTGATTAATATTGAATTCATCGTAATTTTATTGTTTTCGGATTAATTCCAATAATTCTACATTATTTCTTGTAATTACAACTTTATTGCAACATATAATTTCCGTAATTCCAAATTAATTACGATACTTATAGGATAACCAACGTAATTTTGTAATTTACAAGTAATTCCGGTAATTCAATTCCAGTAATTCCGGTAATTGGTAATTCCAATGTTTTCAAGTTAATTCAATTCTTAAAATTCTAAATTAATTCCTATAGTCCAACTTAATTCCAATTTAATTTTCGTAATTTTGTACTTTTAAAATAATTCCTGCAACACCGAATTAATTCCAAGAAATTTAATGCAATTTTCAATAGTATATTATAATACTAGTTTATAAGCAAGCCTTTAAAACACGCACGACGGGTTTAATAGCACGACGCGTGAGGGGAGTGCTTTTAACGTCGTAAAGGCGCTTATAAACGAGTGTTATACGCTATTTTTTATTATACCTGCCCATCTGCGATCTTTTATGACCATTGAAAAAATGTGAATTCACACAATAAAATTATCAAAGGTTGTTTGTGAATCGTTTTCGTAGAGACGGTTACTAGTTTACGTTGTTATGTACATTTTTCGACGTTTGTAAAAATCACTTCAGAAAATGAGTGAAGATATTAAAAGGCTAGCAGAACAAGCAGAACTGCGATTAATTCCGGAAAAATCAAAATTTGCGTAGTGCAAGTATGTAGTGGCTAGTGGCAAGTGGCGTAGTGGCTATATTGAAGAATCCACTTCAATCAAAATAGTTATTTGGTCAATGTCCGTCTCTTGTTGCGACCTAGCTTCCAGATGCTAAAAAATACACAGGCCACGCGTTTCGACGGACTTCTGCAACAATCATGGCAAATATTGGAATGAGTGTGGATGAACTTAAACGATAAGTTGGGTGGAAGTCTTCAACGGTGGCAAATTCGTATGTTGAAGAGTCTACCACGAATAAACTTTGTGTGTCAAGGCGCATTATTGGGGCAGTAAGTGGAAGTAATACTATTACATCTGTGGCTCCAAYAAGGAATGTATGTGAAACAGCGCAATGGGAGGAGTCTTCTACTAGTTTAAATAATAACGATGTAATTAAACGTTCCGGGTTACAATTTTCAAACAACAGTAATTGTACGATTCATGTGTATTTCAATAAATAAATAAATTCGTTCGTGTCAACATTATCTAAATTTCTAACTAAATTTATTGTTACCATGGCAACTTTAAAGCACTAGAGCTTTAAAGGCCCCTTTATGCACGCTTTTGCGTGTTTTAATCAGTGATTATGATGCAGGTATAATAAAAAATAAATTATCTCCGTTAATTTTATAAAGAATTTCAGTAATTCTAAAAAATTCCAGAAAGTTTAGAAAAATTTCACCGAAATTCAATTTTAGTAATTTTATTAATCCATGGTTTTCAGATTAATTCCAAATTAATTTTCGTAATTCTACAATAATTCTTGTAATTTAAAATTAATTCCAAAAAGTTCAATGCAATTTTTAAACTAAATTTGCTTCGTAAATTTTAAAAAATGTGGTAATTCCAGTAATTAAAATTATGGTGATTCCAGACAATCCAAAAATAATTTTAATAATTCCAAAAACTTCCAAGCAATTACATCTAATTCCAGAGTTAATGGCCCCTCTAAAATTTCGTTAAAAACAAACTGAAAACTTATCAAATTAGGACAAAACTAGTGTTATTTTTGCATTTTTAGAAAAATTACCAAATTAGATTGAAATTGATATTATTTTAGCTCGATTTAATTTGTTTTTGAACCAGAAATTCTTTATTTTCCACGATATTCTCAGAACATGTCTAAAAATTACAAAAATTTATCTAAATTGATGTTATTTCCTTTGTTTTATTCAATTTTGAGTGAAATTTTGTCAAAAAAATTAGCCGTAAATGGCGTATTTTACATTTAAACAATTTTATTAAGTAAAAAACGTAAATCTTGACAGTATACGGGCTATTAAAGGTGACGTCACAGACGCGACTGTAATGAAGCTAAACATACAGTGTTGCCAGTTGTGATACTAGAGTACCAAATTGATACTAGATTTTTTTTACTAGATATTTATATTTACTTGTAAACCAATAATAATTTATATTCTCAGCCAAATACACATTATGTGAATGTTAATATTTTTTATTTTGTTTTGTTTTGGTACGACCTATCCACTCCTGTCGTTTGCAACATTCTGGCAATGCTGTACACATATTTTTGACGTACACAGAAAGTGAGGTTAGAACAGATTAAATTTCAGAAATGTTGACTACAATTGTTAAAACCATTACGAAACGACACACATTTTTCATAGCAACTATTTCCTTAGAAACAATCTCCCTACACAGGATTCAAGAAATAAACTTTTATTTGTTTAGCTTCAAAGGTACAGTCACGTACCTTGCTGACGTCACACTAATAGAGCGTATTAGAAAAGTTTAAATGAATATTATAAATATTATAAATATTATATAAATAAAATGAATAATCAGATCTGGTGAATTTATTTTTTTGGGCTGGCAACACTGCTGGTTAGGCACGGAGTGACAATTTGAAACCTAACCTAATTCGCGCTCGGATTGACAACTTTTGGTGTTGGTAGTACTGTTTTAAAACTTCATACAGTAGCCGATGACATTCAAGGGTCACTTCCGTTTCCGGTGGTAGTCGGGCGAGAGGGGGTAGTCCGGCTGGTAGGAGGGTCCCGGAAAGTGGTCCCACCAGAGGGGCGCCGGCTGAAGCATGTAGGGCGGTGGCGGGGCATACAGCGGGAAAGTGGGCTGGACCATGACGAGGGGGGGTGGCAATGCGGCGTGATGCGAGGGGGCGTTATGTGGGGACGCCGCCATCGGGGGGCGCCCCCACATTAGCTGCTAGCAGCGCTGACTGTTCCAATGGTTCATGTAATCTTGATAAGTCACTGTTATTTTCTCACTTTGATAACGAGTCAGTTTTATGCTGCGACGCACTTCGTTTGATATCACCGATTTATAGCCCCCTTTGCGCAGGAGAGAGTCGATGGTCTGCAGTTGATCCCAACCTGGGGGCAAAAGAAAACTCCAGTAAACTGAACTCAAGTTGGCAACAGTGAAAAAATGACATCTGTCAAGTTTTATTCAGTGCTGCAAACCTAATTTTCGAATCACAGGCTACTCGGATCAGAAATTTTATTTTATTTTATACACAGGGTGATGAAACAAATTGTGTAATAAATAAATATTCAGATTTTTTTTTTTCATATCCCATAACCTGTAACCAATGAAACACTTACATTTTTCATACTCAAATTCTTCAAAAACTTCAGAAATGTGATAGTTTGTAACGTCAAAATTGACATCTCATCCATTTGATAATATTTCCATTAAAATCATGGCATCCAACTTTGAAAATTCAAATACACTATAATTTTTTCCAATTTTCAAAAAATTTCTGTAAGAAATTTGACATTTTCCTTAAAATCAGTGCAACCAACATGACAACATAAGAATCTCTACACAATTCCTAACGATCAAAGTAGCCATGTCTTTGACATTTTTTCTAACAAATTGTAAAAATAACTAGAAAAATAAAAGATTTTCATGTTAAAAATGACATTTCCTTTAAAATCAATGCTACCAACATAATAAAAAACTGATCTCGAAACAATTTCAAATAATCAGAATTGCGGTGTTTTTTCAACTTAAAAAAATAAAAAAAGTCATAACATTTTGGTATGAAAAATGGCATTTTCTTTAAAATCAATGCGCTACCAACATAAGAAAAAAAACTGATCTCGAAACAATTCAAGTAATCAGAGTTGCGGTGTTTTTTGACATTAAAAAAAATAAAAATTCCATAAAATTTTGGTGTTATAAAATGACATTTTCTTTAAAATCAATGCTACCAACATAATAAAAAAACATATTTCGGAACAATTTCAAATAATCAGAGTTGCGGTGTTTTTTAACAATCTACACAAAAAATAAAAAATGACACAATTTACTTTCGGATCATGTGGCTCCAATCCTGACATTTTCCTTAAAATAAATACTAACAACATAGTACACAACCTGATCCCCAAAAACAAATTAAAACAACCAAGATGGCGGTGATTTTTTAACAATTTGTTCAAAATAACAGATTTAAAAATGGTACAATTTAGTTCCTTTCGGTTTCGGGTCATGTGACCTAGAAATCATATTTTTTTCAACCAACAAATTTCGATGTTAAATTTAACATTTTCCTCAAAATCAGTGTGACCAACATGACAAGATAAAAATTTATCGGTAAACAATTTCAACGATATCTTTTGATGTTTTTTGTGACAATTTGTGTTCGGGTCATGTGACCCAAACAAACGATATTTAACACGACATTTTCCTCAAAATCAGTGTATAGGTCATAGAAACACCAAGAAGGATGCGCAGAGACGAAAACTGGTCGCGGACGCATCCATTCGTAAATATAGGGGAGTTCTGAAATTAGTTGAAAGCAGTGGCGTGTATTCGCACTTATTTATATGAACAAAACAAATAATCCATACCTATACTGTAATAAAAATATTTTAATTTTATTACTTTATTACTAAATAACATTTTAAGGCATTTGTTCTTTTATAAATTGCAATACTCAGTAACCATTTGAGAAAGTTATTAGAAATTGTTCAACAAGGTTCAAATTATTATTGAAATTCTTACATCTTACTGATTAGGTATGAAAACAAAACATCACTAAAAAATGTGTATTATACTTACTTATTAACAGGGGCATTTTATAAATGTTAACTTTGAAAAATTAATTAAAATTAATTATAATACAAATATCAATGTAAGCCACGCTTTATTGTCATTATGATTGACGATTGAAACTAAAATTTGAAAGTTCAATTAGTTGAAATTAATTTTTGGCGTCGATTTTCCGAAACAATAATGCCAGCAATACGTGTTATTATCTAAAATCAATAAATTATTTTAATTTGTTGTCATTTTTTCTCTCGCTCTCAGGAGAAAATTTACAAAAACCTAAAGTGAGGTTAATTGCCTAAGACCCATTTTTATGTCAGTCGAATGACACTGCTCAAGTTTTCCCACCACACCGAGTACGCACTGGCTCCGCCTATCGATATCCTTCTTGGTTTCTATGAGGTCTAACCAATATGACCAGATAAATTATGTACGGATCATGTGACCCACACGCACGAAATTTTTTCAACTGTTCATAACATTTTGGTGCTAAATTTGACATTTTCCGTAAAATCAATGCGACCAACTTAATAAAAAAGCTAGTTTCTAATACTCAGGATGGCGGTGTTTTTTTGACATTTTGTGTAATAATTCGTTCAAAAATAATAAATTAAACAATTTAGTTTCAGGCCACCATATTTTTCGACTTTCACCAAAAAAAATTGATGTTAAATTTGACATTTTCCTACAATCAACGCAACCAACATAACAAAATAAAAATTTATCTCAAAACAATTACAAACAATCAAAGTGACGACGTTTTTTGACATATTTTAAACTAATTTTAAGGTCATGTGATCCAAGAACCAATTAATAGCTGTTAGTCAAGTCACGTGATTGCAAAATCGCACTCGATTGGCCAAATTAAGACATACATTAGTAAAAAGAGCCAACCCACGTACACAAAGAGAAAAAACTAGTTCCCTCTTTTTCTACAAATGTACATCTTCGTTTATCATTTATTTTAAGAAAAAAATACAAGAATAGACTTTATTTAACAAACTTGAGATCATTTTTACAAGTCAGTCGAAAAAAAAATGTGAAATGTAACTAAAAATATATTTGTAGGTGCCCCAAGCCATCTCAATAGGGCCCAAATCTGGTTTTTCTGACAATTTTAACGTTTGTAGTGACATCCGTTCAATTAAATTTCTGATCAGAGTGACCTTTGACTTTAAAATCTTGCATTGTTGCCAACTTCATTTCAAAGTCACAGGTCACTTCGATCGAAAAACAAGGCCATTGTGTGCACACTAACCGGGTCACCTGTCATCGCTGCCAACTCAAAGAAACCAAATCCACCACTTCGAGTCCACTTACCTGCCACGTCTGTCTCGTGCCCCCTTAGGGGGCCCTCCCCCCACTCATCCACCTTTTTTACCTTGTTCTGAGGCGACTTCAGGTAAGTACGTCGCTGTTCTCTTGTTGCCCTTCTCGTTGATAAACTCGATCCTGATCCCATGCACCCCCACTTCCCAGTCGAGGTAGTCGTCCCCGTCCTCAAAATGCCTCAAAATCGACACCGAGACGCTCAACTTGGGGAACTCCTCGCGTGTCACCGGACTGAACCGCGAGTCTTTGAAGGCGCTCGTGACGGCGTACTCCCGCAGCCCCGATTGCAGATTCATGGCGTTGAAGGTGCCAATGCAGCCCCTCAGCCGCTTGTCTTTGCCGATCTTCCAGGTGACAAACAGGGGGCTGAAATGAGACAGTTAGACAACGAGTGGAGGCGACAAGGGGGCTCACTATGCGTCGTTGCTGAAGGAGGGGGTCTTCGGCGGGGCCAGGTTGTACAAGTGACAGTAGAGGACGTCGAAACAAAAGAAGCACATCTCGGGCAAGGCCACCATGCCTGGGTTGGGAATGCCGTTGGGCACCACCGAAGTACCATTACACGATGGGACACTCGAGGAATTGTTCAATTTCTGCTTTTTCGTGCCACAACACCCAGCAGCCATCGTATTTTCGCCAATTCACAAACAGCTGACCGAGCCAGATGGCTGCACCACCGAAACAAAGACAAAGCGACGAGTTCTCTCCTTGTCGCACTCGTTGTGCCGCAATTGTGACGTCACAAAGATCCATGAGATCAGAGTGCGGTTGGCAGCACTTCATGCACCAAACACAAAAAATTTAAATTTGAAATTGTGATTTCAAACACCTCATTCGCCAATTTCGATTTCTAAGCCACACTACCACAAATATAACTACCTCTCAATTTTTAACCCACCCATTCACTATTTTAGATAGTTTTTTTGTTGACTTGATTGGGGTTGGTAGTGGTTTAGTGCCATTTTCAATTGTTATTATAATCCATTTCATTGAAATTGGCATAACAGTAGGCCATGATTGTGTAAACCGCGCTTTAAATGTGAAAAAGGCTTTACATATTAAGGAACTAAATTTGTCACTAGAAAAAGTGAGGTTAAGATAGTTAAAATTTTATTTTTAAAGAACCCTTTTTCAGAAGTTTTCAGAGAGTTTTTTCGATAAAAAGTTTAACATCCTGTTTCATCCCTTTGTAGGTGTAGTTTTAACACTAAAAACATACACTATTTGCTTTGTAGAAAATACAGACTTCGTTGATAATAAGTGGCTTCCAGAAATTTTAAAAGACGTTTTATTCACACCGGAGATYAAACACAATTTGTTTTCCGTGTAAGTTGCATCCGAAAGGGGTTTGGATTTTGTCATTAAAAATGTAGGACAAAATTTTTAAACAATGGTAAAGTTGTTGCGATCGGAGGGGAAAAAAGAAATCTGTACAAAATGGAGCTTCGCGTACTGCAGCCTGAAAAATCGTGTTTTGCCCAGGATAAAGTAATTTGGCTTAATTCAAATTGGTATAGTTGATTCCATTAACCTAAAATTCCTAAAACAGGAATAACAAAAAGAAGTTCATTATGTTTTCAAACATASCTTAGCGAGTACTTTAAATCTGAAGAGAACTAGTTTTAATTAAAATTTGAAAAAGTAGTGGGAATAACGAACAAACAACGAAAACACTGAAAAAACGAATACAAATGTCAGTCATGTCAGTTCAATAAACAATGTAGGTAAGTAATCAAAGAAAAACAAAAACCCCATCAGCTGTTATAACAGGAACATGTGCAAGGCTACAAACTTAAATACGAAATTCCATAGCCACCTATTATGCCAATTTAAATGAAATCTACTATATTGTTGTTACAAAATGGTGGTGTTCGTGGGTGAATAAGTGGAGAAGTTGGGGAAAATGGGGTTAACCAGATGCAGAAAAACGTTAAGTGAATACTCCGGTTTAATTACCTAATTAATATTAGTTTAATGTTTTAATTGGCATAATTTTGATTTAATTTTTTTGTTTATGCAACCAGTTATACAGACGTGTGCGTCAAAGACAACTATCACCAGTTAAAATAAATTTTTAAAATAAATATAATTAAACTTATGCAACTAGACATACACGCGTGAGCGTATCTATGCCGACTAGGTACTACCAACCAAAATCACAAGAGGTGCGCAAATTCAAATCTGGAAATTTTGAACGTGAATATTTCGAAAAGTTTGCGTCGCACGTAAAAATAGACTGTCAAAAAAGATACGTAATGAAATGTTCTATCGAATGGTTTAGCCGAATTTGATTTTGGCGATGGTCATTTTCGTATCAGGCTTAGGAAAAACAAAATACCTATCTTATTTTATATTTTAAAAGGTATGCTTGTAGCTGAGATGTATAAGGGGTAATACGACAGGGTGATTTTTATTTTGAAAAACCCACCCTTAAAATGGTTTTTGTACAATGTAACTTGTTTTGAGTCATGTCGTAGGGTTATGAATGAAGAAAACAATTCCATAATTTGAGATTTTTTGGTCTACTAAAAAACGAGGTATTAAATTAATTTATAACAGAACAATTTTTTTTAGCGTCGACTTTTTATCATTTGATACTCGTTATTTTTCTGAATCTTGTCAATTAATATTATAGGCTTAAAACAACTTTGAAGGTTCTAAGAATTGCGAAATTTATGAAAAAAAAAGTTTGGGGTTAATGTGACGTCACCCTACTTGGATTAACCTGACCTTACCCAAGTTAAAATATTAGATTCTTATGGAAGAATTTTAAGGTAAAATTTTTTTTTGTTGAGATTTTGGTCGATTTTTAGCACCTGGAGCGGTCTATTGCCAATAACTCCGAACTTATTGGTAACAACCTCTTATATTTGGTACCGTTTGAAACAAAATTTAATTTTCTATCATATACAAAAAAGATCAGTATTCTACGATAAATAGTGATTGAGAAAATTTCTGATAAAGTTAAAATTTTCAAAAATATAAATCCGACTATAACTTCGAAACTACATATTACGAATTTTCCAGTTTTCTTGACGCCAGTCGATTCCCCGATACATAGATTTATGTCAAAATATTATATCATTGAGAGAATTTACAAAATAAGTAAAAGTAAAAATTTGTTAACACCCCTTAGAAAATTGTAAAAACCATTAAAATCTACATTAAATTATTTATCTAATGGCGCAAACCGGAAGTCACTCCAGGTTACGGCTCCGGGTACAGAGTCATTTTTAGTTTTTTTTCTAAAAAATTAATATCTCAAAAGCTATGAGTCCTAGGCCAAGGTAGAGTATTTTAACTTGTTGCATCGCCCCTTAAAAAATTGTATTTTTGAACATGTTTCAGATTCAATTTAAACCTATCTTATCCAATAGATTTTGACGCGCTGATTACGAATTTGCGCTATCTCCTTCAGTTTCGCCGTAATCGGCGTTTAAAAATTCATTTTTTGCGAGATATGAAGTTGCACATTCTAAACAACATTTAACTTGAAGCTCCTTTAAATATGATTATGAAACTGGACCTTAGAGCAAAAAGGTAAAAACCATTAAAATCTACATTAAATTATCTATCCAATGGTGCAAACCGGAAGTCACTCCGGGTTACGGCTCCGGGTACAGAACCATTTTTATTTTTTTTTCAAAAAAACGTCATATCTTAAAAGCTATGAGTCCTAAGTCAAAACGGTTTGTACAGGCGTATTCTCCGGTTAATTTTACATATGTATAGTACTAGTTTTTCATAAGAATTATTTTTTTATTTTTTTGTCAGAATCGGATATTTATAGCCTTATTTTTAACTTTATTACTCAATATCTCAAAAACTATGCATTGTAGAGTATTTTAACTTATTGCATCGTGTTCAGCGCGTAATTTTACGTCTAGAAAACTACAGGGTGAATATAAAGTATGGAACCAAGCGGTTTTATTTTTAATCATTTGCCCCCAGAAAATAATAATTAATATAAATTAAAGTAATATAAAAAATGTGATCGTATTTTCAGAACGACATTTTGTTTTATTTTTGAGTTATGCGTTTTTTTTTTGTCAAAATTGCAATTTATGTGAAAAAAATTTTTTGAAAAAATTAAATATAAAACAGATAGTTGTAATCCTTAGAGTATAGCTTTTATGAGAAAAATGATTTTATAGTGGGTTGCCATTAAAAAAAATAATTTTTTTCGTAGAACTCAAAAACAAAACAAAATTTCAAAAAATTTTATTCTTGTTAAATCATCACATTTTTATAGTACTTTATCACTCATCAATTAGTTTTTTCAAAAAATTAATAGTTTAAGGAAAAAACGTTTGGTTCCATACTTTTTATTCACCTGGTATATGTTAAACGTTTTTACATTTAATTATTTTTACGATTTTTTCGAAAAACTCAAATATGCACTTTAAGTTTCTAGGACTGGTGAGAGTGGAAAATACGTCATTTAGATAAATTTTAAAATTTTGTTTTTTTTTACGAGTTGTGTATTTGAGAATTTGAGTAGAATGTGGTTTACCACCAAAATCACAGAAGGAATAAGCAACAAAATGTTCCCAAATCTGTCAATTTTTTAATTACATGATTAATTTATTGTTTTAGAGAAAAACAAGTGTTATGTAAAAAGATGTTTATTTTTATTCATTTTAATTTTAATTAACGAAAAATGTTCAGTAATTAGTAGTTTTGTGTATTTTTGAGCAAAAAATAACACAAAAAAATGATTTATTTAAAGAAATAAATAAATAATGAAATTTGGAAAAATACGTAAATGTATAAACTGAAAAATTATCTTTTTCCTTTCTCTCAAATATTGATTAAAACCTCTCTCTTTCTTTCTCTCTATTGTGAGACAAACCTCTCTTCAATCTTTCCAAAAAGCTGATTTTTCCCTGATTTCAGTCATATCAAAGACGAATTGCTTTGTGTCAGTTAAATCCGCTCTAACGTTTCTAAATACACAAAAAGAACTGTTAAGAGAGTTCATCGTATCAGCAAGTCGCACAACGTTAGATTTGAGAGACCTAATAACAAGCTTCTGTGTGTTGATTTCTTTATTGCTTTGTGGTGTAACTTCAATCAATGATATAGAAAACCATTGACTCAACAACAGATTAAAATAAATAATGTCTCTGTTATGTCACTGAAAGATTTGTCCGCTTCCTCAATTCGACTCTTAGTAAAACATACAGGGTGTATCGGTGAAACTTTCAACCAAATTAAATATTTCTTTGCTCAGTACCCTTGTAATTGCTTCTATTATTATTGTTTACCCGAAACTTTCCTCCTTTGTGAAGCCACATCTCCGTGCATGCATAATTTTTTTTTCCTCCTGTATCAAATTTCAATTTTTCTTTGACTTGCGCTTTCAGCGAAATTAATTTTATTGGAAAACATTGTAATGGAAAGTGTTCACCTTGGCAACAAGTTAATGAGATTTATTAATTAATAAAACGCAACATTACTTAATGCGATTTTCAAGAAACGCATCGATAAACTCCCACTGTAGTACCACCTGTGCCATGCTCACGACAGTTGGCAATACGTGAAGTGCGAGCCGGTCTCGTGTGAATTTTCGGTGTAAAACAAATAAAAAAAAATTTGAGAGTGTGATTTTGGTGGTGGTGTTTTTTTTGAAGGACAAGAAAATTCAAAAGGTACAATAATTTTGAAATTTTTTTTTTGGAATTTTACAACAATGAGGTGCTA